ACTTTGAATTGCAGTACTTTCCCTGATACGTATGTAATCATCAACTGCATCTGCTGCGACACCATATGACAATATTCTCATCGCTGAAGTCATTTTTTGTAGGGGAGATAATCCAACTACATAAGCTGCATCTTGTTTTTGAACAAAGTATGAATTGTGTGCTTGGATTGCATTCAAAATTCGCAGATACAAAGGACGACGCATTCGAAAACGTCTCCGAAATATTGTAGGCGAATACACTGGATTTACAGCAAAATAATCTGCAAACAATCTGTCATGGCCTGCAACAGAACCACCTATTTTCTTTGAGGTATCACTTGACAATAGAATCTGAAGCATACTACTATTATTCTGCTCATAAGCTCCTAAAAGTGTGACGATATATTCATCATCATACTTATCATCAGAGGAAGAGGAAGAAGAAGAGGAGGATGAAAATGAAGCCAATATCATAGATTTCAACGTATTCATTATGCTCTCTTTGTTTAAGCTATGATCATATCAGTAGTTGTGTGGAGTTGTCTGCCATTACTGGATAATGAGTTTATAGGAGAGCATAATCCATATGCCAGACATATATGTAATGGAGGGAAAATGAAATCGGAAAATAAATGGGAACAAAAAAGGAGTAATGGAGGGAAAAATAAATACGAAAAGAAATGGGAGCAGGAAAAGGAGGGAACCAAAAAAAAATTTTTTTTTGAACCGGTCGACCGGCCAGTCGCCCAACCGGTCGCCCCGTCCCCAGTTCACAAGGGTGGGTTCAAAGGTGGGTTCAAACAGTTCAAAAGGCTTAAAAAAAAAAAATTCACATACCGGTCGACCAACCGGTTGCCCCACGGGAATTTGATGAATTTGATGCACCGTTGGAGGCAGTGATATCAAATTGAGAAAATGAATGATTTTTTACTCAAATTTGGTGAAAAAAGAAGTTCACCGTTGGAGATGCTCTTAGGAGTACAAAATTAAGATTAAAATTAAAAAAAAAAAAAATTATTACATTTTGTCAACTCATTAGTTTGATAACACTGGGGAGATGTTTGTTATTCCAAAAATATTATGTAAGGTCTTTGCAATTTCATTAAGCTTCTCACTGTAATATATTATTTTTTAGTGTTATTTAATATTTATTTTAAGACATTGTATTTTATATATTTTTAGAAATGCCCTGGAAAAATTAATTTGGTGTACAAATAATTATAAAAACATTTAAAATATATTTTTTAATTAAATCATGAAAGATATTTTATTTTATTTATTTTTTCACAAAATAACGATTAATATATTAATAGTTATATTAGAATGCATGTCAATATCTCTTCATGAATTCGAAATTGAAATCTTACTCAATTTGACATTTAAGGCTCTCTCTACAACCGCTTGAGCAATTGCCCAAAATTAAATGAAAAGTTCAAAAACATAAAATTATGATTTTTCCCTCTCCTCATTTTTTCTTCTTTTCTCTTACTTTCTTGCCCCGATTGCTGGCCACCCCCTATTTCTTTGCCATCCTTCACCTTAGCCATCCCTCACAATCCCATCCCCATTAAAACTATATGACCTGCTAAGAAAATTTTAGGCAGCATTGGATAGAATTTTAAAATTATGATTTGATAATAGAGTTATATTTTAAATTTGTGAATTTTGAAATTATAATTTAAAAAAAGAAAATTTATTTGGTTATGAGTTTTAAAGAAAGTTTTGAATTTTTAATGTAACATATGAAATGAGAAAAGTTGTTTGGTTATGAGTTTTGAAAAGAGTTTTCAAAATTTAATTCAAAAACTTATAACTCATAACCAAACACACAACTCAAAATTCTACGAAAAATTTTATTCAAAATTCATAACCAAACTCTTTTTAAAATTTATTTAAAAAATAATAATTTGTCATTTTGGTCTAAAAAAATAATTTATATACTTCAAAAATATCAAAAACAAATATGTATATATATATATATATATATATATTTTTCCAAATAACAAGTAGCGATTGGCAATTGCAAAAAAAAAAAAAAATATAAATAAATATACTGTTCTGGTCAACCGGCCGGACATCTGAGCAGACGACCCAAAGCGCAAATTCAAAAATCAAAAACTCACATTGGCAAACATGCATTAAAATGTGTTTTCAAATGTGGTGTTAGAATGAAGTTTGAAAATTTAAACCAAATATAACATTAGAATGTAAGAGTAAAATTATAATTTGAAAGTTATACCAAACACAGTACTAATCAATTCATCTATTCTTGTTGCCATCACTAACCTTATATTCACTAAGGCCTCGTTTGGTAAGCAATTTTTTTAGTTAAAAAGTTAAAAAAATTACTAAAAAAATTAAAAAACCAACAATCTATACCAAAAGTCAAAGAAATTATTTTCTCTTTACTTTTTACATATATTTTCATAAAAAAAATCAAAAAATCATCCCAAACATACTAATTTTTTTACCTTATATTTTAATTAAAAAATTAAAAAATTACTAAAAAATTTTGTTCTCAAACAAGGCCTAATAACGGCCTTACTGTGAATACATTAGTCCTATCAAATCTTATTACCTCATCGCCGTTGCAAATCCTATCTTTGGCAATGTTGCTGCCGTCAACAAAGAAATTTTTTGTCAACTCTTGTCATTTTCCTCGTAAGTTTGTTTGAGTTTAAGAAAGTGGATTGGAATGGACGGTTGGGTAAAAGGGTAATGGTAAGGAAGGGTCAAAGAAGGAATATGAAGAGTTTGGCAATGATAGAAAAATGTGCAAAGAAGGAATATGAAGAGTCTGGCAATGATAGAAAAATGTAAGGGATACTTACAATTTTACTAACACACTCACAAGTTAATATGAGTCTCATATCAAGTGATGGTTGATCTTATCGAAACTTGTGCGCCTTGTGAGTGTGTAAGTAAAATCGTTAGTAAGATTGCAAGTATCTCTAACATTGTTGATATATAAAATGCAAAAATGAAATTATTAAGCCATCTCTAACGGTTCATCAGATGCATTATCAAATTCAAATTTGGTGAAAAATATGTATTTTTTGTGCTCCAATAATTTTATCAAAACGGTATCAAATTGAGAACGCTCCAAAGTTTTCACCAAACTAAAGATGTCTTGTACCTTTCAGCAATTTAATGTGTATAGCCGTTGAGTCTGGACCTACCAGACATCCCCTTGGATGACCAACTCAAGCAAAATTTTGTGAAAATTTTACACTGAGAGGTCGACCCCCAAGTCAACCACCACTTTAACCAAATAAAGCTATTTCATTGCCTTTCTAACTATGTCCCTGATGAATACAACAGAGTAGCTGTATCATTTGATCTAATTGAAACTTCAAGCAAAACGAAAATTGCAAATATAGTGAATTTATAATTCTAAATTATGTGCATATACTGATTTTAATTGTTCACAAATTGGCTACTGTTAGTTGAACATTGCGAAGATAGTGAACTTGTTACAAGAATGCAAAGTTCACATAATCATTTTGGGGCATGCCAAATATATATATATTTTTTGGTAGCAAAGAGTTCATATTTTTTACTCATATTTGATTACCTAGTTGTAACCAAAACAAACATGTTTTCTAACTTTCTGATCAGAATATATTTGGATCAATTCTCTCCCTCTTTGTCAAACGTTTAGATTCAATCACTTATTTATGATCTGGGATTTGCTTAAATAGGTAATCTTGTTGGTTTTCATTTACCATTTTTCGTCTTTCTTTCCTTATCTATACAAGAAAATCATCTATGTATACCTTATTTTCTGATATGGGTTTTGTTGAAGAGATATGTTGCAAAAATGGGTGGTTGTATAAAAAAAAAAATTGTTTCCGAACTAGGTGTTAATGGATATAGATAAGGAAGAGATAGTGATACTTGGCATCACCAAAGCTACCAACAACAACCAATTGTTTTAGAACCAGGTTTTTCATTTTTTGCATTGACTGGTCGACTGGTGATTTAATTAAAAATCAAATTCCTCCGTTGGAGCAGGCGATATCAGATAGAGGAATTCGTTTTTTTTTTTTTACTTAGATTTGATAAAAATTTTGATGAACCGTTTGAGATACCCTTACACTTTTTTTAATTTTATTTTGTATTTTGAGACATTCGATAAAATTTTTAAAATCTCTAACATTTTTGTTTTTGTTTTTGTTATTACAACTCTTGCTCAACAGCAGCATTTAACAGATCATGGGTCAGTTATTAGTCCTTTGAGAGCTTTGGTGCCTTATTCGAGGAAGACACCCTTTAATATTTCAATTTCAGTGTGGTCTGAATGTAATTGTCATTGGTAAGGTTCAATGAGATTTTTGCTTTAGAATTTTTTTTTTCTAAAGAGAGTCTCAACCCATTTAACTAAAATGAAATAAAAATGATTCTTAACATCAAATTCATTTTTCCGTAACCCCCATTTGATAGGGAGAGAGAGAAGTGGTTTTTGAAATCCAATTGATTATTAAAGAAAAAAACACAATATAGAATTTTATTTTGTATTTTGAAACATTTGATAAATTTTTTAATATTTTTTATTAAAAAAACTAAAGAGGAGAGAAAGAGAGGGGAGGAGAGAGTGAAACTTTTACATAGATCTTAATTACACCATTGGATGGAATTGGAAGGTCATATGGGGACGGAGCAAAATATTTATTTATTTATTTATTTTTAACACGATCTCAAAATTGGAAGTGAATTTACAAAATTACGTAAATTGACAAAGGTTTAGGGTTTAACCGATTGAGGATAGGGATGATAATCTGAAACCGATTCGATGGTGACCCGGCTCTCCCGACCCCGAATTAAGTGGTTATTCATTGAAAAATGTCCCCGACGGGTCGGGTATGGTAGTCAAAAGTTCATCCTGGATGATATCCGGGCCGGGAACGGAGATAGGTGTTTCAGACCTGCCCCCGCCCCCGCTCCCGCTCCCGCTCCCGCTCCCGCTTAATCCCGAGGTGAAATTACCGTTTTGTGCCTGCATATCTGTATGCTTGTGTTTGTCTAGGGTTTGAGACACACACTCAGACACACTCAGCCTCTCACTCACACGGCGCTCTGCTCCGCTCGCTCCTCTCTCTCTCTCGCTCGCCACCACTGGTTTGGTCTCCCCCTCTCTCTTTCTCTCACCGCCGCGCCTCTCTCCTCACCGGCGATCCTCTGTCGCCACCGATCCTCCCTTACCGTCTCACCTCTGCCATTCCTCCGTCGGTCCCTCACCGCTGCTGCTTTCTCTCCCTCACCGCCGCTCCTCCGTCACCGCCGACCTCCCTCACCGTCGCTGCTCTCTCTGTTTAGGTACCCCTCTCTCTCTCTCTCTCTCTCTATAGGGATTTCGTTCTAGGGTTTAACCTGTGTTTTTTTTTTTCCTTTGAATTTATAGATCTATCTATTTTATCCATAGATCTGTTTATTGATCTGTTTAGTGGTCAAGATTAGTTTTTTTTTGCTCTGTTGATCTGATTCATGTATATCTTGTTGATCTGATATAATATATACATATATGTTGATCTGTATATTAGTTTTTTTTTTATCTCTGTTGATCTGATTCATGTTTATTGATCTATCTATTTTATCTATTTTGTCTATTTAATCTATTTAGTTTTTGCTTCGGAACAAGCCTGTCGTTAATTGGTCAAGATTAGTCTTTTTTTGCTCTGTTGATCTGATTCGTGTATATCTTGTTTTCAATTATTGGAGTTTCATTAATTCAGAGGTAGATGTGTTGCTCAGTCTTTGTGTTTGTGATTCACATGATCATGTAGCGTGTTTGCTTAGGGAAATTTGAGACAACTGATTGAATTTGGGTTTAATTGCCGGGGACAACGCCAAGTGTTAGTTTTGCAAAATTTTGAATTGCAGATGTTTGGTACTGGAAATCTCTTTAAGACCTTAAAAAAAATAAAAATCTCTCTCTCTGTCTCTCATAGCAGGTGTCTGTAGGTTGTTCTATGTTTTGACTATGCACACTAACGAAATTCATGTCCTGCTACCTTTCTCATAGCAGGTGCCTATTTTTTGATCATGAGTAGTTATTAGTATTTTATTGTTTCTTTTTATTTTATATTATTGAAGATGATGAGTAGTTAATTTTTTATATTATTGAAGATCTTATTGGTACATGTCCCAATTCAATTCCATTCATCTAAAAGAAAGAAAACAAAGAAAGAAATGTCCCAATTCAATTCAATTCCATTAATTCAATCCATTAGCTTAGTTATTATTAATTTGTTTCTCAGTTCCAGTAATCTACTTTTATGTTGTCTCTGTTAATATTAATTCAATCCATATTATTTTTATAAAGGTTAAAAATGTCAGATGTTAACTCTGAAGCACCAGTTAACTCTGAAGTACCCGTTAACTCTCAAGTACCATTTGAGAGTGACGCGTCACAACATTCATCGCCAGCTACAAACGCACCTACGAACTCACCGTCTCCCCTCTCTAATCAACATGTTATTGATTTAGAAAAAGAGTCTAATACTACTTGTGCAGGAACTAAAAGAAAACCTAGTGTTGTGTGGGAACCAAGGTTCTGAAAAGCGGTTGCGGTCGCTGTAACGGTGGCGGTGGCGCGGTTGCGGTTGTGGGGTGTAAAGGCCGTAGCGTAACGTTTGCGGTAATCGGAACCGTGAATTTTTTTATTTTTCGCACAATTTGAAAAAAACTTACCGATACGCACATTTTTTTTCCACGATCATATTTATTGGGTTTTAAAATAAATATTGATCAATTTTTATAAATTTCTAAGTTTGATCCAATATATTTCATATTTTTAAATTACTATAAACTGAGTTTTTTACATTTTATTTTAATAATTAATGACTTTATATTATACAAAAAATCAATCACTAACTATTATACATAAAATAAACAATGACAAAAGTAAGAGAATAAATAAAAGCCTAAATATATATATATATATATTAATCAAGCCAAAATAGATAATGACCACACTTATTATTATTATTATTATTATTATATTATTATTATTATTTTTTTTTTTTTTAAACAATATATAGATAGACACACACAAACAAAATGGTTGAGTGATAGCAACTGAATAGAATAGCATAGGTCTTACAGCTTCAAACAAATCAATAAACATGTTCATCTTGCCTCTTCTCCTCCTCTCTATCTCTTTTTCTTCATCTTCCCTCTTCTCTCTCTATCTCTCTTCCCCCATTTTCAATTTTTTTTTTTTTTTTGTGTTTTTTTTGTTTTTTTCGAAAGAAGCAATTCGGAACCGTTACGTAACGGTGCGTAACGAGCTGTTATGGCCGTTACGACCGCTATAGCAGCCGCTACGGCCAATACACCTGTGAATCTCAATCACACTGCAAAAGCGGCCGTAACGGGTGGCGGTAACTACCACAACCGTTACGTAATGGCATTACGTAACGGTTGCGGCCGCTTTTTAAAACCTTGGTGGGAACATTTTAAAAAACAATAAGTCAATGGGTTGTGGAAGGCAATATGTAATTATTGTAATAAGCATCTTGGAGGTGATTCAAAAAATGGAACTAGGTATTTGCATGATCACCATAAGAGTTGTACTAGGAAAAAAGTGATGGACATGAGGCAAAAAGTGTTAACTAACAACTTTAGTAGAGAGAGTTCAAAAATGAATTCTTATATTTTTGATCAAGATTTTGCTAGGAAAGAGTTGTCACATGTCATAATCTTGCATGAATATCCCCTCTCTATCGTAGATCATGTTGGTTTTAAACGATAAAATTTTGAATATCCCCTCTCAATTTGAGGAAGCGTTCGGACGCAGCTAACATTTTTTTTCTCGTCCCTCCATACTCTGAACCCAGAGAGAGAGAGAGAGAGAGAGAGAGAGAGGGAGGAGGAGATGGCTTCGATGTGCAGATCAGCAGTAATGGCAGGTGCGAGGTCCCTAACAGCTCGCTCATCCAAAACCCTACTTCCCAAATCCCTATTTTCCCCAAAATCCACAATCCCATCTCCATTCTCTTCTTCCTCAAGACCCATCCCCTTCTCTGCTTCAAGGTAAAACCCCTCTGCTTCTTCTTTCATACATGTGTGTATATATATATATATGTATCTATTTATGTAAGTAGTTGTATTGGCTTTCAGGGTTGTTTCAATGCTGGCAAGTGTGGAGTCAATGATGCCACTTCACAGTGCCATTGCTTCTGCTCGTCTTAGGTCCAACATTGCCGTCGATTCCTCCTGTTGGAGCTTGCTTTCTGAAGGTACTTTCCCTATTATCTTTCTTTTCGAAATGAATTTATTCGTAATTTTTAAGCTAAGTAGATTGTTTATTCGTATATCAACAAATACAATATGAATCTTGTAAGTTATGCTTCATGTTGATGTTAATTGGGTTTTTTGTTCTTTTAGTCTACATTTGAATTATTCTTTTTTTTTTTAAAAGAGAGAGAGAGAGAGAGAATTTTTTTTGTAATATTAGTTATCAGTACTTGGTTTTTTAAATGCATCAATGGGTTTAGCATTAAAATATATTCAAACATTTGGTATAGTTCACTTTGCTAGCTTGTAATGGTTAATGAATTGAGTTTTGTTTTTTAGTCTACGTTTGATATATCGGTTATCAGTATTTGGTGTTTAAATGCATTACCGGGGTTAGAATTCAAACATTTGATAATGGTGAATAATGACTCTTGTTTTCTGCACGATGACTATTCTGACTAGTTGATCTACCTGTTGATATAGGATTTGCAATACCGTTGTGACAAGGTTTGCCGGATTTATACAAGGCAATAAGTGCATAGGATTTGTTTCCATATCTTTTTGAGAAGGAAAAAGTCCTTAAAGTTTAGAAATTGTTGACATTAAGTTTTGCAGCTTGTGTAAACTTTTTGTTCAAGTTGAGTGATGCCCTTTACTTGAATTGTTAGTTGATATCCCAATGTAAGTTCCTTTGGTGGTTTTATGATTCTGCCATTGTGAAATTGCTTTTGTAGGCGAATTGCATGATGTGTAATTGCTATGAGCAACATCTATTAGGTCTTTATCCCTTTCAGGTTTCCTTGGATTATAAAAAATTATGTATCACAACATCAGTTTGTGCATATCACTGTTTATAAATTTTTTTTTGGGGGGGGGGGCGCCTTGGTTGACATATCGTTTCTATTCAGCATTAATAGCCTTATGTCAATGTCTTCTCTTGGGCTGTTTCTTTGACCAAATTATTGAGGCTTCACATAGAAAGCTAGACTTTATTTACATGTTATTTGCTTTACTAAGTTTGCGCATCTCAGTTATTGGCAATAATACATTATTGGAAGTGTTGATGGAGAATAAGGATGAAATTAGAACTTTTAGTTGCTAGAATGTTGAAAATTTAGCACCCAACACATGCAATGAAGCTATAGACGAGTAGCCTTGGGCAATGAGTTAGCGAGGAGACTGGCTATTACTCAATATTAGTTTGTCCCTTTATATATATAAGCATATGTACTAGATGGTTAACCTGTGGGATCCTAAGAGTTTGTTCAGTGGCTATTCCTGTCTACCTTGGACATAATAAGGTTTTTGATAAAAAGTATACACTAATTCACACTCGAGCTTCACCTGCACAAGGCCAATTGCACATTTTTGTGATGTAGCTTCATGGGGATCTTGTAATGTGGTGTGATATTGTCTTTGTATTAAATCCCATCCTCATATTAATGGGGAAGCAAGCAACTACTAATGTTCTTACCACTCAACAACTTTACCATTCTCTTTTTAGTGAAGGGGTTCTTCCACTAATTATTTTTTTATTTTTCTTTGTGGCCTTTCCCTAGACTTTGCATTACCTCGGTGACACAGACTCCACGTTCAGTCACTTCAAACCTAATCAGAGCTTGCATATGAGCGGCCTCTTTTACTGAAAAATTTGCCAGGGAAAACAGTTGATAGGCTATCTGTGGGCCTTCTAGTGTGTGAACTTTCACACAAGCGAGAAAATATACATGCTTATTGAAGATTTTTGACATGCTATAGGTGATCTTTGCTTTTTTAGAATTCCAGAAGATGCCACTGAATGTTTTTTGTGACTTGATACTAGCTGTGTTATATGGCTTAATCCCGAGGTGAAATTACCGTTTTGTCCCTGCATATATATATGCTTGTGTTTGTCTAGGGTTTGAGACACACACTCAGACACACTCAGCCTCTCACTCACACGGCGCTCTGCTCCGCTCGCTCCTCTCTCTCTCTCGCTCGCCACCACTGGTTTGGTCTCCCCCTCTCTCTTTCTCTCACCGCCGCGCCTCTCTCCTCACCGGCGATCCTCCGTCGCCACCGATCCTCCCTTACCGCCTCACCTCTGCCATTCCTCCGTCGGTCCCTCACCGCTGCTGCTTTCTCTCCTTCACCGCCGCTCCTCCGTCACCGCCGACCTCCCTCACCGTCGCTGCTCTCTCTGTTTAGGTACCTCTCTCTCTCTCTCTCTCTATAGGGATTTCGTTCTAGGGTTTAACCTGTGTTTTTTTTTTTTTCCCCTTTGAATTTATAGATCTATCTATTTTATCTATAGATCTGTTTATTGATCTGTTTATTGGTCAAGATTAGTTTTTTTTTGCTCTGTTGATCTGATTCATGTATATCTTGTTGATCTGTTGATCTGATATAATATATACATATATGTTGATCTGTATATTAGTTTTTTTTTAGCTCTGTTGATCTGATTCATGTTTATTGATCTATCTATTTTATCTATTTTGTCTGTTTTATCTATTTAGTTTTTGCTTCGGAACAAGCCTGTCGTTAATTGGTCAAGATTAGTCTTTTTTTGCTCTGTTGATCTGATTCGTGTATATCTTGTTTTCAATTATTGGAGTTTCATTAATTCAGAGGTAGATGTGTTGCTCAGTCTTTGTGTTTGTGATTCACATGATCATGTAGCGTGTTTGCTTAGGGAAATTTGAGACACAACTGATTGAATTTGGGTTTAATTGCCGGGGACAACGCCAAGTGTTAGTTTTGCAAAATTTTGAATTGCAGATGTTTGGTACTGGAAATCTCTTTAAGACCTTAAAAAAAATAAAATCTCCCTCTCTGTCTCTCATAGCAGGTGTCTGTAAGTTGTTCTATGTTTTGACTATGCACACTAACGAAATTCATGTCCTGCTACCTTTCTCATAGCAGGTGTCTATTTTTTGATCATGAGTAGTTATTAGTATTTATTGTTTCTGTTTATTTTATATTATTGAAGATGATGAGTAGTTAATTTTTTATATTATTGAAGATCTTATTGGTACATGTCCCAATTCAATTCCATTCATCTAAAAGAAAGTAAACAAAGAAAGTAAACAAAGAAAGAAATGTCCCAATTCAATTCAATTCCATTAATTCAATCCATTAGCTTAGTTATTATTAATTTGTTTCTCAGTTCCAGTAATCTACTTTTATGCTGTCTCTGTTAATATTAATTCAATCCATATTATTTTTATAAAGGTTAAAAATGTCAGATGTTAACTCTGAAGTACCAGTTAACTCTGAAGTACCCGTTAACTCTCAAGTACCATTTGAGAGTGACGCGTCACAACATTCATCGCCAGCTACAAACGCACCTACGAACTCACCGTCTCCCTTCTCTAATCAAAACATGTTATTGATTTAGAAAAAGAGTCTAATACTACTTGTGGAGGAACTAAAAGAAAACCTAGTTTTGTGTGAGAACATTTTAAAAACAACAAGTCAATGGGTTGTGGAAGGCAATATGTAATTATTGTAATAAGCATCTTGGAGGTGATTCAAAAAATGGAACTAGGCATTTGTATGATCACCATAAGAGTTGTACTAGGAAAAAAGTGATGGACATGAGGCAAAAAGTGTTTAGTAACAACTTTAGTAGAGAGAGTCCAAAAATGAATTCTTATATTTTTGATCAAGATTTTGTTAGGAAAGAGTTGTTACATGCCATAATCTTGCATGAATATCCCCTCTCTATTGTAGACCATGTTGGTTTTAAACGATAAAATTTTGAATATCCCCTCTCAATTTGAGAAAGCGTTCGAACGCAGCTAACAATTTTTTTCTTGTCCCTCCATACTCTGAACCTAGAGAGAGAGAGAGAGAGAGAGAGAGAGGGAGGGGGAGATGGCTTCGATGTGCAGATCAGCAGTAATGGCAGGTGCGAGGTCCCTCACAGCTCGCTCATCCAAAACCCTACTTCCCAAATCCAAAACCCTACTTCCCAAATCCCTATTTTCCCCAAAATCCACACCCCCATCTCCATTCTCTTCTTCCTCAAGACCCATCCCCTTCTCTGCTTCAAGGTAAAACCCCTCTGGTTCTTATGTCATACATGTGTATATATAGGTATGTATCTATTTGTGTGTATTTATGCAAGTACTTGTAGTGGATTTCAGGAGGAGGAGGACTCGATCTATTACGGTATAGAAATATTAGCATTCCTCCACCACCACAGCGCTGCCTCTAGGCATCACTTGAGAGACAAAGATGCCGAAGGACTTTGATGTTGAATTCTTTTTTGTGGTTTGCGTGTTTTTTTTTTTTTTATCTGTCTCTATTTAGAGCTGAGATCTGCTAAGGTTTGGAGGAGATGATTCATATCTGAACAGATAGTTTCATAGGCAATTAGTATTATCTCACGAGAATATGTTGCGAATAAACTTTAACAATATTCTCAGATGTGCCAGAATGTATCACTATATAAACATCTTTGGGTTGAATATATAGAATACAATCAACATCTTTAAACTTTAATATAATCTTAATTAATTATACATGGGTAATAATTATAATCTCACAACAATGGGCTGCAAATAAACTTTAGCAATCTTGTTAGATGTTTCAGAATGTATCATCATATAAATACCTTTGGGCTAAATATATAAGACACATTCTAACACCTATAAACAAGTCAACTAGTAAGAATGATTTATTAAGAAATTATCTCCTTTGGGTAGATAAATTCTTTCAAAATCAATAAAATTTCCCTTACTAGCGGCTCACACTACCTCTAAAATTAATACACTCAACAATCATATCTTCAATCTCTTGATATTGCTCATTTAGAAAAATAATATGATCACAAGGATCTTGAATTGTATGAGAATGTATAGGAGTTGTACGTGTTATGCATGTTCAAGTTATATCAATAGATTGAATAGACACTTCAGGTTCTACCTGCACTCTTACTTTCTCTATATGAGAATGAACATACCAGCTTATTACAATAGACACAAGTACACAGAAAGATTTATATATTTAACCTTTAAACTTTTCATCAATCTAAAAACTTCACATTTTAAGCTTAAAAGATTTTTATGTCAGAATCAAGATAATAGCACCATTGACAACTTACAAAAGTAACAACAAATAGCAATAAGTCCCATTTTAATTTCAAAAGCACAATAAATTTTTACTTCTGTACAATCCCAAACTCAAAAGTTATTCTAACTAAATTTTCTACTAGTTCACAATTCAAAAGTGTTTTAAAAATATTTTTAACTAAGTACCATATGTAAAGTATACACAAGTATACATAGCAATTAAAATTATTTTATCACAAAAACTTGTATAATTTAAACATGTTAACCTACATCTCATCATTTTATTAAAGTCCAATTACGATGCTCAAGTACTCTACTTTCTTCTGAAATTATAAGCATGATATATTTAAACTGATTCCACAATTTTATAAAAAATGAATAAGAGGTTATGCACATTAACCAAAATTATCATGCTCACTATAATATCCACATTGAATTACTAATTTTAAAAAACTTTATCAGTGTTTTTTTCAACATGAATGAGATTAGACTAATGCATAACATCAATACTCATTTATGAAATCAATAAAATAATTTCTCCCACACACCTTATGATAAATGAAAATTTATTCCAATTGTTATTATTTTTATTTTATTTATTACCAAAATTAAAATAATAACAATGCTTATTTTGTTGTCATTAAAATTAAATTTTATCTCATGGATGATATAAAAATAGCATTCTTTAAAATAAGATCACTACTAGACTTTAACTTGAATAACTTTTACATTGAACTTTGTGAGATTAGATTCAGAATTGTGACATGAGTCCGAACTGTAAGACC